ATTATAATATAAATGAATGACCAACAGGCGTATTCCGAGCAATATCGCAGAGACGACACAGATCACAAGGTAATGTTTTGTTTTATTATTTGCATAACCTAATAACTTCGTTTCATAAAAGAAATTGATATCGGAATATTTTACTGTGAGTACTCCTTAAGAATCCTAAAGAAAACACAATGTTTTCCCTTGTGACTAGTGACTGGTGACAGCGCGAGTGCAAGTGTATTAAATGCTTAGAGGCTATTAAACAAAAACAATTGAAACCTGGTCAAAGGAAAAGCCTTGAAATAATTTAACTGTTAATAATCGAAGCCGGATTGATCAAGGAGCTATTCAATTATTATATAGCACAAATTTTTCAAAGAAAAAAAGCGATTCATTCTTGTAAATCTGTCACGCGAGTACGTGTTACCATTGCTGAGTAGAATCATGTTAGATGCTTGCATATATTTTGATCAGTTTTTCATTTAAAGAAGGAATTTGTTTTAGAAATTATTAGTAAAATATTTTCCATCATTCTCCACAACTTTTTTCCATCTTTCTGGCAATACCGTGTCGAAAGAATGATATTTGTTTTGGCAGCGATCCAGACATCGCACTTCTTCAGCATTTCGGAACCCTTTGCCAGCCATGCCATACTGTGTCGATCTGACCAAGTGGTGATGAGAAAGCGCTTTGTCTAGGGAGCAAGCTGAGTGCGGCAGAGCATCCCATTCGACCTTCAAAAGTGTATCCTGCACAATTCTTTCAACGTGTGGCCCAACGTTGCCATTTTTTAACACTATTGCTGGTGTTTTTTGCAACAATACATGATTCAAATTATCCGATTGACATCGGTAGACATCTACAGTAACAGCTTCATAGGGTTTGAGCAGCTCGCAATACACTGCACCTAACTGAGTTCACTGTGTGTATACACAGCACAACTTTATGGCCATGATGTCTAAGTGAATGGCTCTCCTAGACTAACCCATGACATTTTGCGCTTGGAATTGTTGTAGCTTATCCACTTCTCATCGCAATTAGCCACAAAAAACTTTCCTTTTCCTGTTTAGCAAGCAATGAAAGCACGGTGTTCAAACGGTTCGAAATAGGATACTCAGTCAATTCGTTTGGCTGCCGTTTTCCCTTCTTTTAGGTCTTGACCATCGCATGCAGACGTCTAGGAACAGTTTATTCATCAACTACTAAGCTGTTCGAGGGTTCTTTGAAATTTTGAATCGGGTCTTCGTCCAAGAAAGCTTGTGCTGTCTTCGGACTCTTTTGGTCTTCTAAGTCATTCTCGTCATGGTCACTTTTAAATCGTTGAAACCAAAACTGACAATTGAGATATGATGGAGCAGCATCACCCAAAGCCTCTGAAAGTGTTTGATGGGCAGATTTTTTCAAATCAAACAACAAAAGTAATGAATCCCGAACATGTAATTGTTAGTCTTCCGTAATTAGCATCGAATAGGTGCCGCTGATCAAAATACTTCTATTAACATCTATTATAATACAATTAATTTTTGATGAATATTTCTTAAACTCTTTTCCTCTAAACATCGATTATTTCGATCGATTGTTCGCGATATATCGCAAAATCTGTGAATGAATCTTAGGAGGAAAGATGACAGCATCTCCAAGCCAGATCACTTAAATAAATTTTGAGAATAACACTTTAAAAGACCAGCGGAAGAGAAATATTAGAATTTTAAATATAAAGACCTGGTATCAGGAAACAGAGCTAAGAAGTTATATAAAACACTAACGCCTGTCACGCTCTTGTATTATGAATAACATTAGTGCCAATCGAATTTCTCAGCGAGAAAAAATGCTTTCTTTTTTAAAATGCTTAAAGTATCCTACTTATCGTTCATACGTTAATAATTAACTTTTTTTCACTGCAACCATCACGGAACGGTCGAGGGTATACTTATATTGTCATAACGTTCGCAATACCCAGAAAGAAGCTTCAGAGAATCAATAAAGTGTACACGTTATTGATCGGAATCAAGTCTGAAACGTTCTAGGCAAGTGCGTCAGTCCTTCTGTCCGTCCGTCCGTCCGTCCATTAGCCGCAAAAATGGATGAATCTGCTAAACACAATATAAATTTCCGCTTTTATTCTATCACGCCTACCCAACCTTTTAAAATATGGAAATTTAATCTTCTTCCTTTTTTTGAGTCTTTTCCACAATACTAATGATGGGTATCAAAGATTCGGTCGCAACCGAATATAATTATTCTAACTTGTTTTTATATATAAAATGTTTAAAGAGAAGCGTATGAAAAATATTTTTTATTTAAATAAATATTTTGTGGAAAAAAAATTCCACTTCCACAAATCAACAAATGGTTGGCGATGTTTTGATGTAAAAATAATTGCTATTTTGCTTTCAAGTAAGAAAGTCATAAACACGATCTTTATAAATTCTTATTTATACAGAAGAGAAGAAAGCAAATGACAATTTTATTATAAGCAATTCTTTGGTGATTTTTTTTTTTTTTTCTTTTTTCTTGCATTTTATTTATTTATTTATTTTGTTTTTGTTTATTTCGTTTCTGTTGCAATTAGTAAATATTTTTTTTCTACCTTTATGTTCCGTATAATATAATTAATTATATTTCCAGGTGAAATGCATATAAAAAGCTGTCTCTCGCTGATTAAATTATTGCAATAAAATGAAAGATATGAGGAGAACGGATGGTCCAAGGAAAAATATAATAAAAACGAAGTGAAAAGGAAGACGTAACACAACAATAAAACAGTTCGATAAGTTAGGTTAGTGAGTACTCGTCACTACTCCGTCACTCATAGAAAAGTTTGTTAGCTTTTCAGTAAGATATGTCAGTCATTTTTACGAATATATACGGGTTATGTCCATTGTTAAGTAGTGCAGATGACATGCATGCAAATAAACACTATGTTTGCGAATAACTCATTTACACGTTTCCATGAGATGATAAGCATATAAGAAAGCACTGAATGACGTCAGTGAATGATTTTTATGCCTATGTGTGTAGTGTGATCATCATACATGCCTTTTTTCGCTTTACTTTAGTTATGAAGTTTATCTTATATATATATATATATGTGTGTGTGTGTGTGTGTTGCGGTTGTCTCCAGTCGCAGTGATAAACTTACTTACTGTGCGTGCGTGGTTTGATAAACAAAAACGTCTCTCTATATATATAGATAAATTTGTCGTTAAGTACTAATTATTATCAGTCAGAGGGCTTATCACATTCCTCAAGAAAGTGTTTTGATATTATTTTTAATCTTATGTCTTATGACTTATGCCTTAAGGGAAAATTACTATAATTATTTAATTTGATTGAACGCTTTTCACGTTGATCATATCTACGATATATGTCTTTTTGTCACGTTCTTTTCGAAACCCTTTACCAATTGTTACTAGGTTAATAACACTTACTATAAAAAAAAAAAAAAAAACAACAAATAAGAAAATTATTTTGATTTATTTTTATAACAATCACCGTTATCCTGTAACAAATTCAAAAAATGGCAACAATATATATAAGCGTACTCGATAATATTGGGTTAACGTGGCTGGTTTTTGGTACAATTATTTTATGAAAATTTATATTGTGTATCTGTGCTAGTTTATGAGCAACGAGCAAAGGACACAAATTGCAATGGGGTTCTTAATGTGTTGTTGCGGGCGTTTTCTTTGACCTGCTTGTCGATATCTTCTTTTTTGCGAAGGGAACAATATTTGCCATAGATACTACATAGTTACACAGACAGACAGATGGACAGACGAACAGACAAACATGCTTAGATGTCTTCCGAATATGTATCTGCCCAAAAATTTGTATACTTACAAAGTTATTGACAAAAATAAAATTTTGATATACCTCCATATACGGTAAGCGTGACTAGTTTTTTCCATATCTGTACATCACCCACAGAGTATACGATCAAATTTTTGTACATTACTCTGCTGTAGTTTATGAGCAATGAACAAGAAATCAATTCTTTATTCCTTTTGTAAAACGACGGTGTTCTCAGTTTAGTTGGCGCTGTACGTGCGTCCTTTCATCGATTTGGCCCATTTTTAATTTCAACCAGCGTGCAAGAGCTTTCAATGTTTCTACGAATTCGAAGGCGAGATTTTGATTTTTGTGAGCAAGAGAATGTTTACAGTAGACATTGCACAGACGAGAGACAGACAGGCGGAAACGCTTAAATCAACTCGGAATTCGATGCTGATCAAGAGTTTGTATACTTTGCCGGGTCTTCAAAGCTTCCCTTTGATCTTTTGACAAAATGGCTAATCACCCTCATCCCAAGATGATGGATATAAAATCAAAAGCATTTGTATTCACTACCAAAAGGAAGTAGTGTACTTTATCTCTGTGTGTGTGTGTGTGTGTGTGTGTGTGTGTGTGT